TACTGTTCCTGTTTAGTACCTCTTTAAATTGAATGGGATTATAGATTGATCATTATAGTTGCACCACCGCCTCGTCTACTGACCACGACACAGCCATTTATTTTTTCAAGTTACATGCGACGGTCGTTTAAAGCAAGTCATTTAAAAAAGTTGTGCAAACAAATGATTCTGTGGTGGCTGTTGCTGACTATTTAAATCTAGGGGGTTTGATGTCTTGTGTCACAAATCCAATGATGCTGGTAGTGACGATTCTCTCTGACCAATCAGTAATATGCAGTGTTTACTGCAGTCAAGTTTTAATATCGGTACAGCTCACTTGGAACCTCAACTGAGGCAATGCTAAAAAAAAAAGTACCAGGTACCAGGTACACAGTGAAAACCCCCCAAAAGTGAGCCATACCATGCAGTGGTAAAGCGCCAAAAGGAGATGTGTAATAATGGGTCAAAGTAATGGGCGGGTCTGAAAGGTTGGGGTGTGTCAAAAGGTTTCTCATTGGTAAAAGTAGCTTCCTGGCAACTGTGTTGACCAATCGGCTTCTGTGCATTGAGAAACCATTATTAGTGTTTCTAATCATTATTTGAGAGATGTGTGTGGTATTGGGCACTTGACATGTTTTACCAAGTGCGTAACACCAAGCCAGGGCAATAATTTGGGTTCAAATATTAAGTCAGATGAATTATTTATTGCTGGACATCAAATTTGACAATTTAATTGAACCACTTTGTGTAACACAAGTATGACATTTTATGAAACAAGCATTTATGAAGTCACTTACATGGGACTGTTTTTAAAAATATAGATATCATAAATAGATATGTGATAGCCAACACATTTTTTTTTTAAATGATCAGGGGAATCACAAACCACCTGTATCTGAATGCTTTAGAACTTCTTTATTTTGCTTTGGTGGTTTGATTGATCACCCCTTCCCTTCCGCATATCCTCAATGCCATCCTGTCGGCCTTATTCTGTCCTTTCAGTCCTGAGTTGCATACTGTGTCTCAGCTGAGTTTCACTGGTGGAATCCTGCCTTATCTCTAGGGCTGCCGCGTTATAGTCGACTAACCTTTTGTCAATGAGAAGAGGCTTGGTCGACCAAAATTTTATTAGTCGCTTTGTCGCCGAAAAAAAAATCCACAGGAAGTGGTGAGGTCACGCAGTCCGTGACGGACAGATCATTAATGGCTGGATTTTGTGGTAATACAGTACATCCAAACGTTCGCCTATCATTCATCGACCTCTAATATGGCTTATCATCCGAAATATGTAAGTAGTAGCAACTTTACATGGCCGCTCAATCTAATGTTAACCTAGAAAAATGTGCGCTATTCAAGTGTCTGAACAGTAGCGTGCTCACAGCATGCCTGATGGAGGCGCCGGTGCGCTCACTTGCTCTTAAAATACTCCGTCATTTTGGTCATACAGATAAGAGTAATACATCTTTCGAATCTGTAAAGCCTCTACGTTTATTTGTGTGTACTCACTATAACAACAAAACATTGCGCTTTTGTAAAATAATGAAAGCAAACAGGATGCGCTTTCTGCTGTCTCGGCCTCTGTGAACTTGAGCGCGAAACTCCCTGTATACTTGCCTTACAGACATGAAAAATATATCTATAGAGAGTGAAATGTTTACTTTCAAAGGAAACAATTCAAATCTAAAAAAAAAAAATAGATATTCTCAGATTATGTAATCCGTATGAAACTTGCATGCATGCGCATCCACTACTGTGGAGATGACGAGACAGTGTTGCCGTCTTTATCTCTTAAGCCAAAAACACAGAAAACACTAGTTAATCAATAGATTATTAAAATGTTAATGCAGTTGCGATTAGTCGACTAATGCTTAAAATTAATGACTACTAGTCGACCAGAAAAATCTTTAGTCGAGGGTAGCCCTACTTATCTCCATGGTTTGATCTTCTGCTTCATCCTGTTTTTTTATTCTGGCTTATCTTCAGATCTGGTCATTCCAGTGGACTGCTTTCCAGTTATTGACCCCGGCTACTAACCTTGATCCTGGGATTATGTCCCTCTAGTTTGGACCGTCGATCTTGTTTTGATCCTCACTTGACCCTGACTTGCCCTCGGTCCTCTGCCCAGCTGGGTGGAGTTTGCCTTGAGACTGTTTAACCTCTATTGGTCTATTGGATCCTCTCTCTATACAGAACCAGACACATGCCAGTTGCACAGACCTGGTTAATAAATGACTCAGACATTTACGACGACATCATTCATTTGACAAGCAGTCTTATGAACAACAAAACACTAATTTTGATTTTGAAGCCAAGAAGATCTGTGAGGTGACTCAAGGACAATGCTGTGAACAAGCCTGTAAACCAAAATAAGCACCTCCAAGTGTTTTCCCCAGTTAAGGTCATGTGGTTCTCTTGAAACTGTTATTTCTGCTTGTATAAAACAGTTCAATAGACAAGTATAAATAAAACTAATTTGGAGAAGAGATCTCAAAGAACACACCTTATGTTTTGACTGAGCCCCTTGTCCTTTTCTCTATCCATCCCCTGGCCTAAGTTATGCAGAATGATCATGCATATCTTAAAAATGATGGTTTCACTCCCACACTGGTAGAATAAACCAAAATAAAGAGCTTAAGAATTCTGATTTTCTCAT